GCATTTTATCTTATCTGAAACTCACACAGCCAAATTAGACACTAAATTAAAAAAAAACACGTTTTGGATTTCTTTTATGGTATTTTGATCCTTTATCTTCTGTCCTTAGAAAGGACTACAGGAGTGACAGAGTCTCCTTGCCCTAACCTACAGCCTTAAAAATATCCATTGATTTCTGTCAGCCAAAACTGAAAAACAACTTAACATTTTTTCATGTATATAATTTGTTCTTTACTCTTTATATAAGTGAGAAATTTACTTTTCCTCCAAACTCTATTGATGACTGATATTACTATGGAGAGAAGCAATTCTCTAGCCAGGTTATAATTAAAACTGGAACTGAAACTCAAAGAAAGGAATGCATAGCAAGAAAATCTGTAAATCACTTTTCTGTGAATGAACTGCCTGCGGTTTTCTACTCACAGATAGTGGACACTATGTAAAGATATGTTTTAATCTAGAAAGAAAACTAAATAAAATCTATATACACAGAATGATCAGAAACCCATGAATGTTTCAGTCGAAGCAGGAACTGGTGGCAAAGACAGGTTTGGGGAAAGCGTTTATTTTTTAAATATCATGTTAATCTTCATAATCAGACATACGATGGCCTTTGTAGAACTAATTTGAAAACTGATCATCCCCCTTAATAGCTGTATGTCAGTGGCATTAATTGGTAGGGGGAAAATGATACATTTCTCAACAACCTGGGTATATTAAAGTTAAGGAGCAGTAACAACTCCTTTTAGTAATAATGGAAGATTTTTTGGCTCAAAAGTTTATCCATTCATGGGAAGCCAAGCTAGATTCACAGGGTTTTCATTTGTGCAAAGAAACAAAAGGTGACATACTGTACCTTCTTTATTTAACATATTTACTCCTTAAAAATATCTGGTAAACAAGGAATTCTTTCCCATTTTTGAGTGATATTTTGAGTTGCTCAAGAGGAAAAACTTCTGTTGTGCTCAGGTGAAGCAACTTAAAATTCCAAGCTAACTCCTTCTTTCAAGAAACTAAGGAATCTATGTAAAAATAAAGCATAATTATGACTTCCATCTCAGTGAGAGCTACTCCTGTCTTCACCTTGTTAAAAGGTTATTTTCTCCCCAGTTGCATAGAAAAATAATCACCATGAAGGCAGACACTTCTCAAAAGAAGACACTTATGCAACCAAAAAACATACGGAAAAAAGTTCATCATCACTGGTCATTAGAGAAATGCAAATCAAAACCACAATGTGATACCATCTCACACCAGTTAGAATGGCGATCATTAAAAAGTCAGGAAACAACAGATGCTGGAGAGGATGTGGAGAAATAGGAACACTTTTACACTGTTGGTGGGAATGTAAATTAGTTCAACCATTGTGGAAGACAGTGTGGCAATTCCTCAAGGATCTAGAAGTAGAAATACCATTTAACCTAGCAATCCCATTACTGGGTATACCCAAAGAATTATAAATCATTCTACTATAAAAACATATGCAAATGCATATTTATTGCAGCACAATAGCAAAGACTTGGAGCCATTCCAAATGTCCATCAATAATAGACCAGATTAAAAATAAATGTGGCACATATACACCATGGAATACTATGCAGCCATAAAAAAGGATGAGTTCATGTGTTTTGCAAGGACAAGAATGAAGCTGGAAACCATCATTCTCAGCAAACTAACACAAGAACAGAAAACCAAACACTGCATGTTCTCACTCATAAGTGGCAGTTGAACAATGAGAACACACAGATATATCACACACCGGGGCCTGTCAGCGGGTGGGGTTCTAGGGGAGAGATAGCATTAGGAGAAATACCTAATGTAGATGACGGGTTGATGGGTGCAACAAACCACCATGACACGTGTATACCTATGTAACAAATTTGCACATGTACTCCAGAACAAAGTATAATTTTCTTAAATAAAGTACCCATGTTTTCCTATGACTGACCTACACCTTCTATCAATTCTGTCTAAATTTCTCAATTAAAAATAATTATTAAGAAAATAAGTGACTTCATTAACATGTCCCAAAATAAAATATGGCTAAGAAGAAAAAAAAAATCAGCCAATCAACACACAATTTGATATAATTATTGAAAATGATTTTCTTTACAAATTACTTTCATAGAACTGGTTAATAGTTCAACTGAAGTTGAAGAGATTTAGATATAGGCTTCTAGAGCAATCAATGCTACTGAATCAACATTAGAAAACCTCTTTTCCTAATGTCTTTTTATGTTGCCAATATGAAGTGCTTACCTTGAATAAAAGATTTTGCCTCGTTTTTTAATACAAATAATAGCAAAGAAGCACCCTCAAGGCTGAACAACGCATTTCCACTTTAGTTAACAAAACGATGTCACTTCCTTTTATTCTTAATTTGGTATTATCATTTAAACTACTCGTTACATATTATACTCATTTTTGTCTCTCTATTCAGGAAATATTCCCAGTGACAACTCATTATCCTGGATGGCTAGGGTATCAATGCTGTTTTTGTTTGTTCTAGGAGGCATTGATCCAATGTCACTATTAGAGTTTCTTATACTGGAACCCACAGATTGCTAGGAAATCCAAAACCTTCTAGAATGATATGTGAATTTTCATGTGTGTATGTGTCCATTGTGATTTTTCCGGCAGCAATCCATTTTTTTTTTTTTTTTTTTGGCTACCTAGCATTAATGCAGCCTCTTTCAATTAATAGTACCCCATTTCTTTCTGGGATACAAACCCAATACATAGGGCATGAAAAATTACAAAGGTGATTCTGTTCTCTGCTCCAGGAGAGGTGCACAGGATTATTTAGTGATCTAATCAGAGCAAATTAGTACAAAAACATTTTTTATAGGCCTTCTGTGAAAGACATCTTCTCTTTATCAGCTTGACTTGAAGCCTGAGAGGATGCTACATTTGAAGCAAGGCCCCTGCCATCATCTTGCTACCAAATAAAGTAAGAGACTGAAGCTGCATTAGTGGAATGTGAGAGATAGAGAGAAATTGGATTATGTTTACATTATTTTAATTCAGAAGTTAGCTCTGTGCCTGAATTTTTCATATGTTAATAAAGCACATGCATACACATTCATACTATCCTATTCCATAGTATTTGCATAGCTGACTCCTCCTTCCATTAACTGTTACTGGCTTTCTTTGACCTTTCCCATCCAATGTAAATTCCGCTCCGTACTCTTGACTGCTGTCCATCCTACCTATCTTTAATCTTATTACATATTATCAAAATCATATGCCATATGCTGTTCATTAGTTTGGTACAGAGCAATTTTGTCGGTTTTCCAGTCCTTTTCAATCAAAGCTTACACAATGCAGGATAATTTCCTAGTGGATGGAGACAGGGAGAAAGGAAAGGGGCAGAGGAAGGAAAAAAGAATAAAAAGTAAGAAAAATAGGCTTTAAAAACTGAGAACTCGAATAGACAGCCATGGAGTAAGATCCATTTAATGGTGAAACAAATTGAGATTTTCTTTAGACACACATAAGAAAATACATTTTGCTTAAATATCTTTAGTAGATACTAGTAGGAAATAATTTTTATGCATTCTGATCTGAACTGCAACCAGACTTAGCTGACATAATTGTGGGGCCCCTGAAAGTAACTGCAGAGGTTTAGAAGTACTTGCCACTTCCTATGAGCTGGCTATATAAATGCCAACAGTGAGTATTTTAAATTAAATAAATAGATTAATAAACATCTTTGGAATATCCATCATTAAGGCTGATTTATGTTCTGTTGCCAGCAGTAATTCAAAGAAATGCCATGCTATTCAAAAAATATTGCATGTTGTTCACACCACTTTGCCAATGTTGTGACACCATGTAAGTATGACAATATCCATATTCTTTTGCAGTACTAACTATGCACAAAAGCCAATAGATATTAAACCACTTTAAGTTTACATGGGCATCAGCATGAGAACCACTCATATTTATAACTGTGATGAATGACCTTTCATTTGTAAATTTATAGTGTATCCATAATTTCTTCAGGAAACCAAGAGCTTCATTCAAAATATTGCCACAACATTTATCTATGCAAAGATGATGGATATGGTTTATGTAATTAAATGCTTTTAAAAATTAAAATCATATTGACAAGAAAAGAGGCATGGTCTTTCCTGGTGTGCTCACGTTTTAAAATATCAGAACTGCACTCTCAGCAGTCACGATGTTTACTCTAAATAGCGTATTAACGATTATTAAATATATCCACATACATCGTTGTTAGAGCTGTATAGCATTTTCTTGAACTATTGGAAATTAAGTTCAATTTATATTCTTATTTTCTAATTCTATTCCCTTACATTAAGCTATAAAAGACAGAAAACAGCATTGGAATGTAGTATTTTCTGTTTATATTTACTGCATTTACTATTATTTCGTTCTTCAGGACTACTCATGGCATCCTGCATGGTTTACTGTAAGAACAAACTATTATAATTTTTATTATGACTCAAATAAAATATATATTTGGGCAAAAATCAACATTAAGGAAGGACAGACATATTTTATCCCAATATAGACTTTGTTCAATTGGAGGAACTGATGAAGTAAGAGAAGACGAATGACAGCAATTATCAATAAACCAATAAAAAGCAGAATAGTCAATGTTATATGCGTGAAGAAGAAATCCACATTGTTGCTATGTGTGATGTGCTTTGCTGGCATTTCTAGTCTGCTCTCATTTGCCTTCAAATACACACAACTGTGGGAAGTACATACAAGTCTCAGTGGCATTTTTAAAAAATTTAATCTGCCCTTCTGCCCTATTACTACAGAAATCTACCAGTTTTTAATTGATTTAGTTATGTGAGCAACAATCTCCAAATTATCAACTTTTTTTAGCATTAGTACATTCAGTAAAAAAAAAATTGTGCAAATTCTTGCAAATTTTATTGGCAAAATATTTTTTTACATATTAGCTCTCTATATACTATTTCAAACAAACATGATATTTAAAATAACAAAATAAACATTGTACATACCCCAGTAGATCGCTAACTCCTTGTGGGCAGGAATGTATTTTTCATCATCTTTGGGTCACCAATGGCCAGCACAGTACCTGGAATATAACACACTCCCTGTAAATGAGTTTGCATTCATTAAATGGTACAGTGCTGACTGGATTCCATTCAGAAGGTACGAATTCAATGAAGTAACCATCCATATATCAACCTTCTTCCTCCATATCCTACATTATTAAAGAAGCACTGCACATTCTTATAAATCTAAATGACAACTTTACTCTGAAAACTCAATTCTTGAGAATAATTGCTTCTAAATGGTTATTATACGACGTATCATTATACTCTTTCAGTTTTGGTGGAAACAACCCAGGGAAGTGCTTGAGACGCCCTTTGGAGTTGGGCTAACAGAGCAAATCCTGGTTCCACCACACTATTTACATTGCACTGGACAAATTACTTAATCTTACCAAATCCAGCTGTCTGTAAAATAAGGATAATTACAGTCTCTTTCTAATAATGTTGTTCAAAGTTTTAAAGAAGACAAACGCTTAGAAGACAGACACAGAGTATCCTGTCTTCATCTCCCCTGCTTCCCTCCCCTCCCCATTAGAGGAATGAAGAAATTCACCTTGGCCAAAGAGATGGGCATTTGCCTTCAGCTATGAGAAGGTGATCTCCTAAAACTCAAAATATCATAGAAGTGTCTTTGTTTGACTGAAGGCTTTGGCCACTGAACAGTTTAACAATGCAATTTATGATGGGTGGTTTGGGCCAGCAGTATCAGTTTTGCCTGTAGAAGGGACCAGAAACTAAAACTACCAGCCCAACGCCAACATCCAAAAGGGGTTAGAGACTAAAGGTCAGCCATATCAACAGGATGTAGTCAAATCCAGCAGAAATTCTGGACACCAAAGGCTCAACAGAGCTCCCCTGGTTGGCAATGCCCTGAGCATACTGTCACACATCGATGCCAACAAGGTGACATATCCTGACTCCACGGTGAGGAAAACAGAAGCTCTGTGTCTAATAACTCCCCAGACCCTACCTATTTCTTCTCTTTACTGATTTTGATCTGTATACTTTTCCTAAAACAAATCATAACTGTGAGTATAACAGCTTTCAATGCATTCTGAGTCTCTCAAGCAAACTGCTGAAGCTGAGGATGGCTTTGATCACCCTCAAACCTGCAAATAATTTGAGAAGTGGGGATTATACTGTGCAGAGAACTGGCTTCCCCTAACCTTGACACTAACTGTAGAGCTGGTTAAACTTGTGCACTTTCCTTCATTAAATCTAGAAAGTCCAGAAAGCTTTGAAAGCTAGCTTAGTTTACCACTCAAGTGAACTTATTAACAAAGACCTCACTGTTAAAATTCACTTTGACTTGCTATTTATTTATTTATTTACGAGACCGAGTTTTGCTCTTGTTGCCCAGGCTGGAGTGCAATGGTGCAATCTCAGCTCACTGCAACCGCCTCCTGAGTTCAGGCAATTCTCCTGCCTGAGCCTCACAGGTAGCTGGGATTACAGGCACGTGCCACCACACTCGGCTAATTTTGTATTTTTAGTAGAGACGGGGTTTCTCCATGTTGGTCAGGCTGGTCTTGAACTCCTGACCTGAGGTTATCCACTTTGGCCTCTCAAACTGCTGGGATTACAGGTGTGAGCCACTGCATCCGGTGATATTTTCATATAAACTATATGCCATTGCTTATTTTTTCTCCTACAAACAGTAAAAGCCATTCCTTCCCTATTCCCAATAATAGATAAAGAAATTCTTTTGGGGCTTTTGTTTTGTTTTGGGACTATGAATGGTAGTAACCTTTTGAAGTGAATGAATCACACACAAGTAAAATTTCTAAAGATTATTAATAGTAGATCTGTCAACGTCAAGATGTTAGAAAATAAACTTCATTAAAAGATGTACTGGTTTTGGCCAGGCATGGTGACTCTTGCCTATAATCCCATCACTTTGGGAGGCCAAGGCAGATGGATTGCTTGATGCTAGGAGTGCAAGACCAGCCTGCAACATGGCAAAAACCTGTCTGTACTAATACTACAAAAATTAGGCAGGCATAGTGGCATGCACCTGCAGTACCAGCTACTTGGGAGGCTGAGGTGGAAGAATCGCTTGAACTTAGGAGGCAGAGGTTTCAGTGGGCCAAGATCACAACTGCACCCCAGCCTGGATGACAGAGTGAGACTCTGTCAAAAATTAAAATAAAAATAAAAGACAACTGGTTTTCTAACAAAATATTAGTTAAATCATATATTCCTGTTTCCCCTAAGTGCTTTGGTTGTTCCATGCAAGAGCTTGCTTACAACCTTGCTATTTAAAAAATAAAAATAACAACTTGGTAGACAAACTAGTAAGACCACCCCAAAGATCCTACTGAAATTGTTGACTACTCTGCATAATGCCCGGGAATGTGAATATAATGGATTTTATTCCATCAATAGTTTCTATTACATAACACAGATGATTTTAAGACAGATTATCTGTATGGGCCTTACCTAATCGATTACACGTATCTTAAATTTTAGTCCAGAAGTCAGAGACAGAAAAGACACAGATCTGAAGCAGGAGGAGGATTGGCACATCACTGATGTCTTCAGACTAGAAAGGATACAAGGCAAGGAACATAGGCAGCCTCTAAGGCCTGTGGACAAGCCCCAGCTAACAGCCAGCAAGGCAGCAAGGACTTCAGTCCAAAAAACCCAAAGAGCTGAATTCTGCCAAAAATAAGCATAAGTTCAGAAACTGATTATTTTTCCTCAGGGCTACGGACAAGAACTCAGCCTGGACAACCTTGATTTTAGCCTCATGATACCTTCAACAGAAAACCCAGCCAGACAGACCATGTTGGATTTCTGACCTTTCTGAGCCAATAAATGGGTATTGTTTTGAGCCACTCAATTTGTGATAATTCATTACACAGGATCACAGGATTCTGCAAGTCTTATATTAACTTCTCTTTAGTCTTTCACCCTGAAAACAGCAGTGGGTTATGGGCTATGTTTCGTTAACCATAAAGACCCCAGACTGCTATTCCTAAACTGACAATTCTTGTACCCACTCTGAATAAGGAATATAAATCAAGGTACTAAGCTAAATTATAGAGAGATCATTTGGGCCAGGCACGGTGGCCCATGCCTGTAATCTCAGCACTTCGGGAAGCTGAGGGAGGCAGATCACCTGAGATCAGGAGTTCGATACCAGCCTGGCTAACATGGTGAAACCCCCATCTCTACTAAACATACAAAAATTAGTCAGACATGGTGGCATGCACCTGTAGTCCCAGCTACTCAGGGAGATGAGGCAGGAGAATTGTTTGAGCCCAAAAGGTGAAGGTTGCAGTGAGCCAAGATCATGCCACTGCTCTTTAGCTTGGGTGACAGTTAGACTGTCAAAAAAAAAAAAAAAAAGAAATCATTTGGAAAATTCAACTGCCTACCTCCTGCAAGAAATGAACTCCAATACACAGTGAATTACTTCCAGCTTTTCTTAGGTCTTTTTAAAGGGTGAAAGTAAGCAGTTATTGCTGCTTCTTTAAAGAGACATGGGGACGGATATAGTGGTTCATGCCTGTAATCCCAGTACTTTGGAAGGTGGAGATGAGTGGGTCGCCTGAGTTCAGGAGTTCAAGACCAGCCTGGAAAACATGGCGGAACCCCATATTACCAAAAAAATATGAGCAGGTTATGGTGGCACAGGTCTGTGGTCCCAGCTACTTGGGAGGCTAAGGTGGGAGGATGGCTTGAGCCTGGAAAGCGGAGGCTACAGTGAGCCAGGAACACACCACTGCACTCCAACCTGGGTGACAGACCTGAGACCCAGTGTCAAAAAAAAAAAAAAACTGACTTGGAAAATGATCATATGTTCAGTGCAAAGTATAAGTATTTGGAGTATGGGGATCACTGAAAAGGAATCTCTTCCAGTAGTTTTTCTAGAGTATGTTTAGAATATGTTACCGCATTTGCTCCCTATCTCATTCTATTTCTATTCATTTACTACAATATTACCATATTTTTCTTAATAAAACACTAATCTTATCATGTTGTGTCCCTGTTCAAAATGGTTAACTTAAATGACCTTCATGATAAAGTCATTCACTCATTTATTCAATATTTCAGTATGTACAATATGCTAAATTCTGTGTTAGGTTAATTTAGAATTCTTTAAAGAAATTTAGTTTGCTTTTCTTAAACATATGCAAGGTATAAGAGGGAGCCAGGTTGAAGCTGTATTTATATCACCACAACAAATATATTACTTTAAAATTGATATTATTTTAAGTTGGCAAATCATATCACATGTATGAAACAATGTTGTATTTTGATATATGCACGAGTGTACAGATATGCATACTCAGATGTCATAATGGATATATAGATACTCAAATATAAATAGAGATAGATTCTTAAACCATGACTAAAGGAATATTAAAATTATTTAAGGTGATTGTCAGTTTTAACAGATATGTTACTTTCTGAAATATATTTCCATATTGTACAGGTCTTATTCTTGCTTTCCTTGGATTAATAGCCTTTATCCTTTCAAGAGGAGGTTGGCCACCATCTAGAACAGAGGGGCCAGGAATCGGCTTTGAGTTTCAGAGCTAACCTTTGGAAATCTTAAATAACAAACTCAAATGACAGAACTTGAGTGTAAAAAGCAGTGAAGACCTCCAAGATAAATACGCCCCTTTACAAAACGAATGCAAAACACAGATCATAAACAGCCACTGGGGGAGCTCTCACCCACCTAGGGAGGAAGAGGAGAGAATTTTGAGCAAAGGAAGAGGTAGGGGAGGGATGAAGAGCTCAGAGGTGGGGTTCAGGCTTTCTCCATGTTGGTGTTAGTATCTGGCTTCCATGCCAGTGGGGCAGAAGTCTATCAGCTGCGTAAAGGAATCTATGCCTCTGTGGACTGACAGTCCTCTTTCTTGGTGGCAGGAGTTGAGGGTAGTAGTGAAAGCATAGGACTCTGGGAATCCGTTTTTAGCCTTGTATGCATCTAACCTGGTGAGAGAGAAATAAAAAACCACTGCTAAAGGAAGGAAAACATCTTGATTGAGTTGAAGTTGGTTATTTA